TTGAACCTGCCACCTTTGGTATATGGGGCTGGTGCTCTACCCACTGAGCCACAGGTGCCACCCACTTTAACTTCTTTTAAGTGACACTAGAAATTTTTCTGTTAGTGTATGATGTAGAATTTTCATTGATCCAGGAACAGTCTCCAAATTAACAATACATTGGCTCAGAAATGGATGACACATTTACAGCAGTTGTGCCCTTCTGGCTGTTCTGAGACAAAGTGCTGTCCAAGCTCAGAAAAGTTCAAAAATCTATATGCTGTTGTTGTCCATAACCTCTATCATCTGTGCAATTATGAGTCCTCAGCATACTAGTATTACAGTTAAATGATCTCAGAGGACACTTCACAGAAATGTCTAGGTTGTGATTGGGCGGAAAATAGAGCAGAATGTCAAATCAGTGAATTTTTTTTTTTTTAACACAGTCTCACTCTGTCACCTAGGCAGAGCACTATGGCCTTACAGTTCACAGCAACCTCAAACTCTTGGGGTCAAGTGATCCTCTTGCCTAAGCCTCCTGAGTAGCTGAGACTACTGACATCTGCCACAATGCCTAGCTAGTTTTTTCTAATTTTTCTAAGGTCTCACTCTTTCTGAGGCTAATCTTAAACTCCTGAGCTCAGGTGATCTACCTACCTCAGCCTCCCCGAGTGCTAGGATTACAGGCATGAGCAGAGAATTTTTTAAAAGAACAAATGAATTACTCTCATCACTCAGGAAATTATCACCAGTGCAGTGACTTATATAAGACCCAATTACTGCAAACTGGATTAAAACTGGTGTCACAGAATTTTCAAAATGGAAGGACCTGAAAGGCTATGCTCATTGTATCAGCGAGAGATAGAGAGTTTGTCTTGACTTGTCCAGGGTCACACTTTGTGTTTAGTGGCAGTCTGAGAACTAAAATCCACAATTTCTGATGGTGGTTCTATTGTCCTTGTTATTGCAAGGGCATGTGTCCCCTCCTTTGGTGTGTGAGGACAGGCTATGGATAGTGCTCGTGCCTTTTCTTTCCTCTCTGTCTTCCTCAACCAGTAGAACAGCATAGGCTGCCCTGCCGGCATCCCCCCCCCCACACACACACATCTGTTGCAGGACTGACTTTGGAGCATGAATCTGTTTCTCTGCAGGATGAGGCCAATTGTTTTCTTTTGATCCCTGACCCTGTTGATCTTTATGATTTACACTGCTGCAGAATTCTCCCATCCTAAAACTGTTCCCTTTCTGTTTTCAGTAAACTAAACATACTACCTTGGAAGTAAAACTTTCAAACATTCAAATCATTTCTCCTTTGGGTGATTATATTTAGTGGAATTAGGGCGCATAGCTGTTCGTCAGCACACCAATGGATTTATAAAGACTGGGGGGCTCGGCGCCTGTGGCTCAAGCGGCTAAGGCGCCAGCCACATACACTTAAGGTGGCAGGTTCGAATCCCCAGCCTGGACCCGCCAAACAACAATGATGGCTGCAACCAAAAAAAAAGAAAAAATGGCCAGGCGTTGTGGCGGGCGCCTGTAGTCCCAGCTATTTGGGAGGCTGAGGCAGGAGACTCACTTGAACCCAGGAGTTGGAGGTTGCTGTGAGCATGATGCCATGGCACTCTACCCAGGGGGATAGCTTGAGGCTTCGTCTCAAAAAAAAAAAAAAAAAGACTGGGGGCCTACGCTGACAAGCTGGTGTGAATGCGTGAAGTAAATGGGCTGGAGGGCTATTGTTAGGCTACAGAGGTGCAGCCAGCTGTGGCCATGTTAAGAGTACCAGCCTTTTCAAAAAGGTCAAAAATTTGGATTTGGGCAACACATTTGAGAATTTTTTATGATACTGTAAAGGCCACATAAAATAGTGTGAGGCTCGGCACCTTAGCAGCTAGGCACCAGCCACGTACACCAGAGCTAGTGGGTTCAAATCCAGCATAGGCCTGCCAAACAACAATGATAACTACAAGCAAAAAATAGCCGGGCATTGTGGCAGGTGCCTGAGGTCATAGCTGGAGGCTAAGGCAAGAGAATGGCTTAAGCCTAAGAGTTTGAGGTTGCTATGAGCTGTGACATCACAGCGCTCTACTCAGGACGACAGCTTGAGACTCTGTCTCAAAAAAAATTAAAATAATAAAATAAAATAGTGTGACCTAGACTTAGTCTGTAGGTCACTTAATTCAGGTGAATTTATGAATGAAAATATCTAATTCAGGCTCGGCGCCTGTGGCTCAACGGGCTAAGGCGCCAGCCACATACACCTGAGCTGGCGGGTTCGAATCCAGTGCAGGCCCACCAAACAACAATGACGGCTGCAACCAAAAAATAGCGCCTCTAGTCCCAGCTACTTGGGAGGCTAAGACAGGAGAATCACTTGAGCCCAGGAGTTGGAGGTTGCTGTGAGTTGTGATGCCACTGCACTCTACTCAGGGCAACAGCTTGAGGCTCTGTCTCAAAAAGAAAAATATCTTTTTCAGAATATCTAATTCAGATTTGGGGAAATGATGGAAATATTAAGATTATATTCCTAAACTTGGGTGATTAAGGAATACTGTTGTGACATCCCCTTAATCTTTCTGGATATCTCATTTCTTTTAAAAATCCTAATCTTAGTAAATTTGGTCTGGGTCTCTGGGGCTAAATCATTTTTAATATTTCCTTCTTTTCTTAATAACTGAGAAAAAGCTTATCTGGAATCGGTCAGTGATTATTCAGAGGGGATTTCAGTGATGGCTGAGAGTGGTCTGCAGGTTACATGTCTGCGTGCTAATCTGCTTCAGTTCCCCTTCCTTCAGCTGTGCCTGAGCACAGGGCATGTATTTCCTGAGTAAGCACACTAATGACGGAACCCATCATCCCTTGCTGCAGAAAAAGAGAGAGACACTTTGTGTTGCTGTTAATATTGTCACTTAAATCATGTAAAGCAAAGTGTACTTTGCTTCCAGAAGTTGCCCTTAGAGATTTTGGGGGTACAAAAAATGTGAGAGAGAAGATGCTATTAGGTCAAGTTTACTTTTTGTTAGTAATTATAATGGTAATACCATTATTACCTAATATGTACCATATGCTTTTTATTTTTATCATATTTAATTTTGAAACCAGTTCTGTTAGGTAGATGTTATTTGCTTAATTTTCTATATTCAAACCTACATCCTTACTCATTTTAGTATACTTCTGTAGATTGGGGAAAGTCTGTAAAGGAGTCCAGAGGAAATAATGTAATCATTCAGCCTTAATAGTAATTGGGGTTTGCATTATCTTTTGATAATTTGAATTGCAGTATCTTTCCTGTTAATATGGAAGTTACAGCAGCATTATCCTCATGGGACTCCATTATGCAATTTTAAACTAATACTAGTAATTGCAGCATTTTAAGGGAAAGAATGCTGACTTTCTCTAGCTAGGAGCACTTCAGGGTCACTTGACTGGATCAGAGATGTGCGACAACTTAACAGATGGGATCAGTAACAGGCAAGACATGGAGAAAGAGAAGGGGCTGCTGGGCTTCAGGCTCCCTTGTGTGATTTGTCGATGGGTAGGAAATGTTGCATTATCTCACAGGCATCTTCTATGGTAACAGTGAAAAACAGGGTCATAAGCAGTTATCAGGACCAAGGAGGACAGTGCAGTTAGCCTAAGCAGCTCAGCTATAAATATCCTAGTAAGGATATCAAAATAAGATTTGTGGCCAGGTGTGGGGGCTCACACCTGGAATCCTAGCACTTTGTGAGGTGTAGGTGAGAGGATCTCTTAAGCCCAGGAGTTCATAACCAGTTTGAATAACATAGTGAGACCGCCATCTCTTAAAAAAAAAAAAAATAACTGAGCATAGTGGCATATGTCTATAGTCCTAGCTACTCGGGAGGCTGAGGCAGGAGAATCTCTTGAGCCCGAGAATTTCAGGTTACTGTGAGCTGTGATGACTCCGCTGTATTCTGGCAGAGGGAGGCCTTATCTCAAGAAAAAAAAAAAAAGATTTGAGAATCAGAAGTGTTTTTCATGTTTAAGCAATATTCATAGCTGGAGGGAAGATGAGCAAATCCCTAGATGGCCAGGTAGGACTCTCTTCCTTAGTTTTTTGCTTAATTTTTAAAAATAGCTCTGCAAAGTAAATTCTGTGTATGTTTTGAGACTTCAAACAGGAATTTTCTTTTTCTGCTTTTACTTTATAGGTACATAAAATAAGAAAGTACTGTTTTTAAAAGGTGAAGAGGCTTCTACACGTTAATCTACAACACTATGTTATTGTTAATGAATGTTTTGTAATAAATTTCTTTAAAAGCAAGCACTTTTTTTTCATGTAGGGACTCCTTTCCATTTGATCAGCAATTTAACATTTTGATGAGATTTATTGTGGATCAAACTCAAACTCCAAACCTCAAGGTCAGTAGTTATTTATCATATCATAATTCAACCTCTAGGCCTCAAATTTGTTTGAAATTTACTCTTTTTAAGTACACAACTCATACATGTGTTTAGCTATTGTAACTAAATCTACTGTGAACATTCTTGTTCAATTCTTTGTGAGCATTTTCCCATTTCTCTTGGTTCAATGCCTAGTAGAGGAATTGCTGATTCATTGACTAGGTATATGTTTAACTTTTTTAGAAACTGCTAAAATTGTTGTGCCATTTTATATTTTCACCAGAATGTGTGAGAACTTTAGTTTCTCTACATTCTTAGCAACTCTTGAGCATTCTTAGTCTTTTTCACAATTAATATTTAAACTAGAAAATTAAGTCATTCTGATGTGTTGAGATCAGTATCTTATTGGAATGTTTAATATTAACTAAGACTTGAAAATTAACTGTTAACATGTTGTAGAAAATCATCTATAACAACAAAACTAAATTCAAGGGAGGATGTGTGCTGATTTGAATTAAGTCATGTTCATTGTCTATTCCTTGATCACTAACTTATGTTGGGATGGGCTAAAATTGAGAAGTAGATGGTAAAGTTAGGATAGAACATTAGCTTGATTACTGAACATGCCTTACAGAACATGGCATAGAATGTATGACAAAATGAACTTGAGAGTTGAAGTCACCCTCACAGTCAGTGGCAGAGCTGGAAATCCCAGTCTCCCAACATGGGCTCCTGTCTCTGAGTGTCTGGCAGCATAGATAAGGAGCAGAGCACCTCTTCTTCACAGGCATGGCAATCTAAAAATGAAGAGAGCCAAGCTGAGTGCCACTTCCTCATCAGTCATTTTGTGCTTTTCTCCTGATTGATATCACTCTACCTAGAAACATAAATTCGGGAGAAAGGAAGGAGGTTTCTTCTCAACAGTGTTCCCTTTCCTCTGTCCACCAATTAAAAATTCTATTCAAAGATTCATCAAGTATACTTAATATTTTTAATTATTGAATCTTTCAGGTCAAAGTTGCAGTCCTAAAATACATTGAATCTCTGGCCAGACAGATGGATCCAACAGATTTTGTAAACTCTAGTGAGACAAGGCTTGCCGTTTCTAGATTCATAACCTGGACAACAGAACCAAAGAGCTCAGATGTGAGAAAGGTATGTCTATGGATCGGAGTGTAATTACAGAGTGTTCTTAGGCATGTTAGAAAAAGATGTTTATTTAGAAACTTGTAAAACCAGCCCACCCATGCACCTATATGCCTTTGTCACTCTTCTTCTGTGAAAGCCAACCTTTTGCTATTGGCTCTTATCTTCTCTCTCTGGCTCTGTCCATTTCCAGTCTTTGAGTATCAAAATAAAAATCGCAAATCTTGCATGATGAATTCACGATTTTCTCAGGCATCTATTTCATATATTTGATAATGTGAAATCACTAGTATTTTATTTAGTGTCTCTTAAAAGACAAGTGTTTTCCTTCTTTTCCTTCTGTCAGCTCATAACATGTACTTTGAAGATGGAATTGCAGATCTAAGGCTAGCTGGCTAGAAGGTACCCGATAGTAAAATGTCACTGAAGCGTTTGATAAGATGTAATAGATTCTTCTTGACTTTTAAAAGAGCAGAAACCTTCCACTTATATAGCACATAAGCATATGTGAATATGAGGTCTGACAGTCAAGTTCACAAACTCATCCTAGATGAGGTGCTACCTATGTCATTGGCTGAGTGTCACTATGGTTACTTAGAAGTACTCCCTTAGGAAGCTACACACTGATGCCACCACTTAGTCCACTCTTTAAAGCAATTTTGGAACTCTTTTTTTTGGAATGGCCATCAGAATTGTTGTATTTATCCTTGATGTCCTGAATGTCAGCAAAACATCTTGCCTACAGTATTTCCTTTATCTTCACATAAAGAAAAAAGTCATTGGAGGCCAAATCAGGTGACTAGGGAGAGTGTTCGAATAGAGTTATTAGTTTACTGGCAAAACTACCTCAATAGTGTTCGTCATTGAGCTCCTTTGGAACCAGTTTTGTACACACCTTTCTCATGCCAAGATTTTCCTGAACTGTTTCTCTGTCAATGTTTACTTGGTCTCCTGTGCTTCTTACAGTCAGCTGAGGATTTTCATGCACAGTTCAACAAAATTTTGCAATGTTTTCATTAGTTCTGCTTGTTACTGGCTGCCCTGACTGCTTGTCATCAGTGACACTTTCTCTCCCCTTGGAAAAATGTTTAATCCATTTGTACACTGCCATTTTCTTCATAGCATTATCTCCACAAACTTGGACTAACATGTCCTTGATTTCGCTTCTGCTCTTGCCAAGTTTAACAAGAAATTTAATGTTTGTTCATTGCTCTAATTCAAGCTCCAACGTTCTTGCAATTGTACACAAAAACACTTAACAACAATGAACTTCACTCACCAAGACATTGCTGCATATTGACATGAACATAGCTATGAGACACTGATACACAAAGGTTATGAAACTGGATAAAATTGTTTATACAGTGCTGCCAATGTGAGTGTATGGTGGCAAGTTCATGAACTTAGTTGTCAGACCTCGTGTGTGCTTTTGTATTGGAATGTTACCTAAGTACACCCCACCATGGATTGAAACATGTTTCAGATTTATGTATTACCTTGATTAGAACCTGTTTGGGACTAATTTTGATCTCTTTCTGTGGACATGAATGACAGAAAAACTTGGGGATAAAAACAAGAAAATTTAAACTAGTCTTTACCATCCTTACTTTTCTAATCAGCATGTTACAGGAACATCCTTTTTTGAGTTTTCCAGCCTGGGATTCCAAAAATCTCAACTTATTTTAATACTAGCTCAATCCAAATATGATTAGGAAATTAGATTTATTGCCCCAAATCAAATGGTTCATTTACTGTTTGATCTTCGGCACTTAATTGCAGTTATTTTGGATGATGCGGTGTTAACTTCACAAAGTTTTGTCCTCATTGGCATGTTACTTTTGACATCCGCCACCTTGTAAGGTATACTTAACTCCCTTAACTTCAGACCTAGCTTACACCCAGGTTCTGATATAATAATCCTAGTATTGGGAAGGAATTTGAGAAGATTTAGATTAGTAGTTCTGTCTTGACTGCGATTAAAATCAACCTAGATTTCTGGGTTCTACTCTAAGGTAATTTGATTTAATTGGTATAGGGTAGAACCTGGACATTATCTTATTTCTGATTGGGTGCCCTTTAATCTTGGCTGATTTTTAAATATGTACAGATTTGAGACCCATTATTTTAGACCATTCCCATAGAATTTAACCTCAAAACATATAGACAGCTAATATAGTCTTGACTTAAGACTTAAAAAAAAAAA